GGTTATTTATATGGTCAAAAGGGAAAGAACAGGGAAGGCTGGCAAGGACCCATGAGAGGATCATACAGAAGGTCAAAACATGGCCCAATGATAAAATGGCCAACTGGAGTTCCAAAGCCAATGAAGGAAATTAAGTAAAAAACATTATTAACAAATAACTAAAAACAAAAAAATCAATCATCTGTCCATTTCTCTGTCCTTGTCTGTCTCCTTAGTTCCATATCCAGGAGAAAACTAGCATAAACAACTTGCTAATCATTCATCTGCAGAAAGGCCATCTCCTCTAGGCATGGAATGATTTTTGTTGTGCAAGTGCTAAGAGAAGCTGATTCACTCTGCAATGACAGGTACCCCTTAGAGGTGGGATTCTACTAATATAATTTAGTAGATTTTTATGTTTTCAAATCTAAACATTGGGTTTTAACAACTAAGTCCATCCGGTATTTCCAAGTTTCCCCACCTTGAAAAGTGAATATGAGGGTACTCAATAATTATTATGCTCTGAGCTGATGACAAAGGTTTTCCTTGTCTCACTTTTGCTGAACAAATCTATAAACATATACCTAACCATCTACTTTTCAGAAAGACTAATTCTAAAAGGATGGCAAACGGGCTCTTAAGGAAAGGATGAGGGGACATCTGACACTTTTAAATGATGGTATAGGAACAGGAGATTTAGACACCATGGTGTGAGTTGGTTTAGTTTCTATCTGTATCAATCAGCTTTGCATCACTAAAATATAATACCTGACATTATGAAGAGGAGGCTTATTTAGCTAGTTTGGGGCATTCAAAGTCTAAACTGACTAGCACAGGTTCTTTGGTGAGCGCTACTCCTTCACTGAATCCCTTCATGTCACAGTCAGCCATGGTATGTGTGGTCAGTGGGTATGTGTGGTTAAACCTCAAACCAAAGGCAAAAAGACTACGAAGGGACAAGTGTGCTCCATTTAAAACTCTCTGATGAGATTTCAGGGGGATGCATAAGAGCAGCTCCCAATGACCTAAGAACCTCCCACTGGGCCTCATCTCCTAAAGGTTCCCAATAGCACCACCCTGGGACCAAGCTTCCAGTCACAATGGATCCTTGGGTGAGAGTCAAATCACACCCAAAACATAGCACTATCTAACAAAAGAACTACTGACAAATCCAAACTTGTCTCAGACATCTGTGCAGGGCATCTAATCCTTCACAATCTAAATTCACGCAGGGTTTCTGCAGCATTTGACATTACCCAGGTACTGCTTCTCACATATTAGTAATGACCACCCCCCAAATAGTCTGTTGTTTTAGAAATTAGTCTTTGCCAAACAAACTTTAAGGAATATTTTAAAATTTCTACTGAAAGAATTCCACTGAACAGTTATCTAACTAAAAATCCTTATAAAATAAGGATAAGGTACTATGATCATTACAAATGATCATGTAATGCATAATTTTCCTTTGACATTACTGTCCCACTTAAAAAGTGACACAAATTATAAAAAGATACAATGGGTATTAACTTTATTAATGGAGCTTATGATTTTATATAAGGTGAAACTTCATATTAATTATTCTTCATTATGTGATTTGTTTCTTTATGAAATTAAAATAAGAAATTAAATTGTTATCACTTTTAGAAAAGGCCACAATCTGAAGTTCAGACTATGGGTTTTTAAAAATTATTTCTGACAAATGGTTAAAATACATATTAATTTTTCATACTTTCACTGCTACAATTTGTCAACTGCCTTGGCAGACTAGGCCATAAAAGAGAATTTCCAGAGGAATGTGAATTTCAGTATTGAAGATTTATTTTTGAAGGGGTCTACAAAAATATTAAAGATAAAAAGTTGAAACAAATGGTTCATTCTTGCTTCTCATCATTTAAAATAGTATAATTACTTCTCTAATTTCCAAATATACTCCCTCAAAATTCCATCATTAAAAACCCACATATAAAATGAAGTTAAATTGAAGGTAATGTGAAACAAGCATGTATATTATCTAATGTCCATTTTTCTAATCCTTTTTCTCAATTACAGAGCATTCGATATCCTCATTCAGTAACAAATATAATGTAGAAAACACTGGCATTCAATGAAATCATATAATAATAATAATGTCTCTTAAGTACTTAACATTTGCTATCCACTGAGCTAAACACAGATTACCTAAAAAGGAGAATTTAGTTCTCATGACAACAATCCTGTAAGGTATCAGTACTAGGATCTTCATTTTACACACAGATAAGGAAACTGAGGCTTAACAAAATTAAGTGGTTACATAGCTATTAAATGGTAAAATCAGGTGAAATGATGAAGTATTTGAGGATAATCATAATTAGAGTTAAGAATAATTTCTCTCTAAAGCTAGAAATACAACTGATTAGATACTGTAGAAAGGTCTGGTCCACATAGCATCAGTCTTTACAGTAACAGTAGCAGTACCCTTAGTTATTAAAGAGTAAGTGTTACTTATGCTTTTTACCCTCAGTTATTAAAGAATAAGTGTTACTTATGCTTTGTACCTTTAGATGATTCATGAAAATAAACACATAGGGAATGAGAGTCAAATGGACCATGGAGGTAAAAAATAAGTGTGATGTGGAAGGATATTAGACATTTTATGAAAATCTGAAAAGTTGCAGTTATTCCCAAGAGAGGCACCCCTGACAATTGGGGGGGGGCAGGGGATGACAATTTTGTTGGTGGTACAAATTTGTCTCATATGTCACTAGACTTCTAATAGCCTTTACTCTCCCATTCACGAAATACTGGAAGTTTCCTTAGTACATGTGATCAGCTGATATACCCCTAAACATTTTCCCCCAACCCTGATTAAGAAGCATTGATTGTTGGGGGAAAAAAATCAGGAAAGTACTGATATTAATTGGGCATGGTGAATCAGATACTTTACTCAATGTATTCACACATATTTATTTTTAGTCTTCTTAACCCTATATGAAGGTAAATATATATTTTATTATTTGTATGAGGTAAATACATATTTTATCCCTATTTTATATATGTAGACCCTGGCACTCAGAACAAAATTTAAAAAAAAAAAAAGAAAAAGATTGGAAAAAAAAAAACAGTCAGTTTTGAAACTAGCAGTCTGGTTCCAAAACACTACTCTGGGTTGAACCTCAGATCTTTAATGGTGTTGCAAGCATGACTTTCCTTTCTTTAAAGAGCTTCACTCAGAAAACAGAAATTGTTTTAAATAGGAACCAGGGTATGTGTGCCATTAGGAACCAGGCACCAATTAGCTCCCTGGTTGGAGCTCAGGAGTCACAGGTGCAGTCTAGAATCACATGGTATAGGTGTTCAAGAGTTGGGGTGGGCAGCTCCTGTGAACAGATATTAGAAGGGCTTTTGAGCATGTGAGTGTGTATGTTTTCAGGGGGAGTTGTGTTATGTTGTGTAAGGCTTATGTGATTTGTTTAACACGTACAGCATTTACATTAAGGCACCAGACATTATTATAACTGCATGACAACATGTCATTTAGGCATGTATGTCAGGTGAGGAATGGGCAGGGTGTGCACTGCATGGTGGGGCTGGTGTGTGTGCAGCAATGTGCATAAAAGATGATAGCTGTGCTGTCTAGAGCAGCAATTTGTGTTGTGATATGGATGGTGCTGGGAGGGGGCGGGGAGAACTGAACACTAGAGGATGTGTGTGCAGTGCATATGTAAGGTGCTGCACCCAAAAGACCATGTGGTGCATTTTTGGGGTATGTGTGCTGGATAGTGCTGAATACTGGAGGAATTACACGGGAAGGGATCTAGGTTGTGTCCCGGGCCTGTGTATGGTGCGTGCAGGAGGTGTGCAGTTGGATGTTTTATGTGTATAGTGGTGTGTGCTGAAAGTGGTGCATTCGAGATGATTCATGCGGTGTGCTGAAAACGGACGGGGGCTGGAGGGGCTGCAGAGGAGGACGCCAGTGTCGTGACGTGTGCGGAGTGATGCTGAATGTGTGTGTGTAGCGGGGTGAACGATTGTGCTAGGTGACCGATTGTGCTAGGTGACCGGCGTGTGTTCTTGGTGTGGCCGGAGGCGCAGTACAGGAGAGGTGGTATTTAGAGGTGAGGTGTGGGTAGTAGGCTGGACGTACAGTGGAGACACCGGGCGGGTGAAGAAGCTGTGTAGGCGGTGGGTCTGCGAGTGTATGTGCGTGAAGCAGCCAGCCCGCTTCCTCACCCCGAGCCACACCGGGCCACCCTCCCGGCGACCGCCTCCCTCTCGCCTCTACCTCACGCCCTCCGGCGCGCCCCGCCGAGGCCGAGCCCGTCCCACCTGGTGAAGGCGAAGTACATGAGGCTGACGATAGTGAAGCTAAGCAGAGTGATGGTGTGCGGCCGATAGAAGAAGTCGATGGTGATGTCCTCCACTTGCTGCTCGTTGATCATCCGGAAATGCATTTTATAGTTCACATCATCCTTGCTCAGGGTCCGGCTCCCCACGCAGGACGCCATGGCCCGTCTCCCCGTCCTGCCGCTGTCCCGGCGGCCCCGGCCCGCGAAGGCTGGGACCCCGGCAGTGTTGACCAGCCGCAGCGGACAAGCAGCCGGATGGCGGGGCCGGGTCTGGCGCCCAGCAAAGGCTGGGAACAGGGGGAAGGACAGGCGCGGGAGGGCGGGGTCGCGGCGCCGCCGATTCGACCTGGGAAGGGGGGTGCCGCCGGCCGGCCGCCAGCTGGCCTTCAGGCCGTAGCATCTCTAAGCGCTCTCTGAGCCTTCAGAGTGCCACTGCGCGAAGATCAGGGAAAGTAGTGAGCGAGAGAATCGCAGCTGTGGTCCCCAGCAGGCTCTTTCCCAGGCTCTCAGCGCTCTTTCCCCCCGCGCAGCCTCCAGATGGTCTCGCCCACTCCGACCGCAGCACACGTGGGTCGGGGAGCGCGGCGGCTGGGCCCTGCGGGCCGGCAGGCGGGCTTGCGGGGCGGCGGCACCAGGCGGGCGGCCGGGCGTGCCCGACAGTCACCGCGGGACCCGACAACGCTCAGGCCTCGCCACAGGTGAAGCAGGAACCCCCGTGGGCGTGTCCCCGGCGGGGCTCGGGTCCCGGCCTCGCGCGTCCAGGCGGCGCTCCCCAGCCTCAGGGCCTTTAAGTCTCCGTGGCTCCGTGGAGGGAGATTGGTTCGGTTTGGTACGTATCCCTGGCCCAAGAGTTGGAAACGCAAAACACGTTTTTTTAGTAGTGGCCCTGGAAGGACGGAGGAGGCCCAGCGTGTGAAGTGGCTTCCTGCGGAAGTTCGGTTTGAGGAACTGAAATCTGGTTTAAAAAGGCCTAGAGAGGGCGACACCATTATTTGAGAGGCCCTTTATTACGAAGCCACCCCTTAGTCCCCCTTTCATCTCCTGAAGTCATTTATTAATTACAGAGTTAGAAATCTGGAACTCTGAAAAAAAAAAAAAACAACTATTTCAGTTCTTATTCCTAAACCTAACGAAGTAGACATCGAGTTGAGAACTAGTGTACGATGTATTAGTGGAGTTTTTTAGGGTGTTTTCTTCCATCTTCGTGATTAAGGGCCGTGTTAGAAAACTTAATTGTGAAACCTCACAGAGCTTATGAACACATTTGCAAATGCCATACCCGCTTTTGAATACTGTGTAGGCCCTGGAGTTGACATTGCTTGTGGTTGATTCATTTCTGTTCTACAAACAGTGGAGCACTGCAAGACTGGTGGGGATAGTTACTGGGAGGGTGGATCCAGAGATAAGACCCAACCCTTCTATCCTAAACGAATTGTTAGGATGTATACATAGCAGAGAAGTGGTAATGTAAAGATAATGCTTTTGCAAATAAAAATGGAAGGTTAAAAATTAGTTATATTCACAAAGGTCTTTTGATGAATGTGGATGGAGTTTAAAAGTGAACTTGCCAGATGTGGAAGGGATATTAATTTGATTATAGAGAGACAAGAGTGAATTTGGGATGGGGATGGGTTTGCTTTGAAGTAGGACAACAAGGTTGGACAAACTTAAAATGTTAAACCTGATAGAGACCATAAGATCATTTTATTGTACCCTTAACCTTTACAAATAAATAAATAAATACTATTTTGGCCCTGGGAGTGTAGCTCAGTTGTAGAGTTCTATCTCTACCACCCTTAAAAATTGTTATTTGAGTAATTATTTGAGTAATGATAATTGTATACCATCATGGGCTAAACATTTTTTTACACCCCTTTAAGAAACTTAATTTTGTCAAGGTAGCATAACTACCTTGGTCTTCTGACTCCCAATTTGGTGCCTTTATGACTGATGCAGAGACAGATTTGGAGGCTTGTTTCCTGCCAAAATTTAACAAAAATTATTGGGAATACTTACTTCCTAAGATCACTTCAGAATGAAACTGAGACTTTCACTTTTATAAATCTCTTCCAACAAACTATAGATCTCCAAGAAATTGGATCTTCAAGTGTTTACTAAGAAATTGGATTTTCAAGTGTTTAGTCTAATGCAGAGCATAAAACAAGCTGAATTCCACAACATAAATGAACAAAGCACAAAGTTGTGTGCCGGAATTAATTCACAGAATTAATTATTTTTGATTGACTAGTCAAAAATAATAATGGTTAACATTTATAAATCATTTCCCATATGCAGGGCTCCATGCTGTGTGTTATATGGATTATCTTATTTTACATAAAATTTGTCTTTCTAATTAGCTGCTAAATGTAAAATTATTTCATATTCCTGGAGTTTAAGGTAGCAACAATCTTTCCTGTTAAAAACTACTTTTTTAGTCAAAATATACATTTATGCCTGTCTGCTTGCTTATTTGTTTCTGTCACTTTGTTTTGCTTGCTATTTTGACCTTTTCCTTTTGAAGGCTATTCTTTTTCTTGTTTTCTACAGAGAAACTGAATTTGACAAAACTAGTTTTGTTCAATTTCCCTTTTAAGAACAGCTTCATCTTTGAAATAATCAACAGAGTTCAGCTCTAAGAACGAAGCAAGAAAGCCTTCACTGTTCAATATTGCAATGATAATGTTGTGATGATTCCTTTAGGACAAGAGTGGTTTCTTTCTGTTTATTTTGTGACTATGTACATAAAATGCATTTGAATAACTCAATGTTATTTTTTTAATTTTTTAAAATTTTTGATGGACCTTAATTTATTTATATGTGGTGCTGAGAATCAAACCCAGTGTCTCACACATGCTAGGCAAGCATTCTATCACTGATCTATGACCCTATCCCTCAATATTATTTTGATTAGCAGTGTTCTTCTTAAATATCCTTCAAACCATATTCCAAGAGCACTTAACTACCTCACTATCTTCTTAAAAAATGATTAACAGATGATTTGGTTATGTATAATTTGAACATTTAAAGATTTTTGTTTTAATGATTTTCTTACACCACTGATTTTGCTTTTTACTGTTAAATTGTAAATCTTATCTTTATTATTCCACTTCAGAAAATCCTATTTTTCAGCTTATAACTAAGACTGCGTTGTTTGTGGCTTTTCCTATATATAAGAAACATTTCACTACTTTAGTCTAATCAAATTTAATTAAACACCTTTAATTTAGGAAAAAAAATAATTTCCAGTTTATGTTTTTGTTGTTTGAATACAATTTAAAATATTTAAATAAACTGAATTTCTCTTTTGATAGTTATCGTTTTCCTTTGTAGATTACTTTAGGAAAAATGACCTTGTCAGCCCAACAGATACTCAGATGGTTCAACTCAATTAAGTCGAGCCACTTCATTAATGCCACACAACTCACAAAACGTTTTCCAAGACCAGGGAAAACATGGTTACAAAGCTCTTCTGCTTGGCCTCAGATGTCCTCTGACAATTGTTTTCTCCAGTGGGGATTTAAGACTTACAGAACTTCCTCCTTATGGAGTAATTCCCAGTCTACCAACTCAAATAGGCAAGAGAATAATTCTGCCCAAAGCACTCTACTTCCTTATGTGAATGAGCAGTCAGAGAAGACACAGAAGATGCCCTGCTTTGACTCCGACCTGACTCTAGAAGGTAATTCTCAACTTTTAGAAAAGTCCCACTTTCCCTGCTTGGTAGTTTAAAGGAGCTACTTGTTTACATTTTGCTAGGCCATTTCTATTCATACTTTGTACCAGGCAGGAAAAGGAACGATGCCAGCTCTATTTATTTACTGTTCTTTTACTTTGATTTTACTAGTATGCATAAGATTATCTTATATAAATAAAATAGATTATATATATATATTTATATAAATAGATTATATAATATGTATTTTTATATTACATTTGCTTTCTAAATGTTTCATTACTTAGAGTATTTAAATTTTTTTTCTTTTGGACCAGGTATGATGACACATGCCTGTAATCACACCTTTTCAGGAAGCTAAGTTAAGAGGATCACAAGTTTGAGGCCAGCTGGGCAATTCTGAGAGATCCTCTCTCAAAATTTAAAATAAGAGCTAGAGAATATAATTCAGTGGAGATCACTTGCCCAGCATGCATCAAGCACTGGGTTCAATCCCAGTACTAAAAAAAACAAAAACAAAACAAGATTAGATTTATTAGGGTATAATTGGTATCAAATAAAATCCATCTTTTGGGGTATATGATTCTTTGAATTTTGATGTATATATGTAGTTGTATAACAACTACCAGTCATCAAATAGAACAGTTATATCACTGCTAAAGTTCCCTTGTGTTTTTTTAGTCAGTCCTTCCTTTCTAGTGCCTCCTGTTCTAGGAATTCAGATTTTACCATATATGGAATAATATTCAATTATGTACAAAATGATAGAGAGCTGGACACAGGGAGGAGAGAAGGTGGCTAAAAAAGTGAGAAACAGAACAAGAGATCACAGTCTGGATTCCTTAGCTTAAGGTAAATTACATTCCCAATTGTCTAACATATTGTTTTATTAAAAATATATATATTTAGATACACACACACACAAAACCACACACCGTAGAATCAGTGCTAGACCAGAAAGACTGCAGGTGGTAGAGACAGACATCATCTTAAAGGCACTGGAGAATAACTGGGAGAAGAGGGCACTGCATCAAAGCAGAATTTTCAGAATGTCATGACTAACCTATGAGATTCAGGCTGTTGAATATGTTGTACTTTTGGCCAAGTTAACAAGCTATGGTAGACTGATTCTCTTCCTCAAAATGTACTTGAAGGGCAGTTGATCCTTTTAACACTTTTACCTGTCATTGAAAAGTGGAGGAGAAAAGTTTTGTGCCTTGAAACTTACTAACAAATTTCTTATCTTAGAGAAAAACAGTAGTTGATCTTTCTAAATAGTCATAACCTTACCTCTTGGTACTTAGAATATTTTTTGATTTCTTGAACAATTAATTCTGAAATGATCTCAAGATTTAACTAGCAAACGACACAAACCAAGGAAGAAGTGGGCTTTGGAGAAATAGTCTGAAGCACTAACTTGCTTCTCTTTCTACATGCCTGTCTTCAAAGAACTGGACGATTTGCCTCCCTTGTCTCCATTGCATCCACTTTCTGAAGAAGAGGCTGTTCAGATTGTTGCACACCCTCCACTGCCTCCAGATTCATTCACACTTCGAGACTATGTAGATCATTCTGAGACTCTGCAGAAGTTAGTGCTTTTAGGTAAGTTTGAGTACCCTACAAATACTTTAGTATACTTTTGGGGTTTTGTTTTATTTATTTATTTATTTATTTATTTATTTTACCTTATTCAACATTTAAATCTTTATCAAAGTAGTATATAAACATATGAGCAAAAGTTAAATAGTGTGAAAGGCTCTGTTTCTCTTTACTGACCTTGTATCCCATTTACTGAAGGTATCTACTTTTATCACTGTACTTAACTTCCACATTTTAAAAGCAGTTGCTTATAATACTATCTCTTTTTTCATCAATTTTAGACAACAGTCGATCTTTTATATATACACATTTTTTTTCCATATTCTCTAAAATTCCCTTGGTGTGTTACATTATAATTTTTAGATATGTCATTAGTCTTGGTGTGTTACATTATAATTTTTAGATATATCATTAGTCATTGTAATCAAATGTATATTTGTTGTTTCCTTCCTGTATAACTTTTCTTTTTCCTGGAGTTAATAATTGCCTTGTTTTTTATTTGATTAATTTTCTTTGTCTCTTAGTGTTAAATTTTCCCACACCTTCCAATAACCTTTCGGGACAGTTTTTCCAGTGAGTAATTATCAGATCCATGGCACACCATTGCCTGTTTTCCCTGTCACTCCCTGACTTTTCTCCTGGAGCTCATGTCCTAATTTGGATAATTTCTCTTTTGGCTTATTCTCTAACTACCTTAGCTTGTTGACTAGTTGGATATAGATAGTGAAATGGCCAGGGCACCTCACTGAAAACTTCAATTTAGTTATTTTTAATCTAGCTTCTTATTGTAACATTCTGATTTTCCCATTACCTCTTCCTGGTTGTCTCCTGCTTACTTTTTCAACTTTATCCCTTGATACTTCCCTCTTTTGGTTGGCCAGCTCTGACAACTGAAGAACTTAGCTTAAATTCCAATAACTTGAAAATGTTTTCTTTGACCCTGAAGAAGGGTCCTCCTTTAAGCTCCCACTTCCTTCCCTGCTTATTTTTGAACCTAGCATTAATGGTAATGTGTGATGATTGTTGACACATCTGTCCCTGTGCTCAATTAGCTGAATGTGACCCAAATATATAAGGAATGGCCTTTGTTCATAAGAAACTTAAAGTGTTCAGAAACATCTAAAGACATATACTTTAAAGTAGCTGGAATACAAGGATGAAAGGTAATGTGTCAGACTCATATCAGAGATCAGAGATACAAATAAAGTTTTTCATGAATCAACATAAGTGTCCATCAGTAAATGAAGAGATAAAGAAAACATGCTATACACAATGGAATACTATCTTTTTTTTTTTTAAGTTGTATGTGGACAGCATGTCTTTATTTTATTTATTTTTATGTGGTGCTAAGGATCAAACTTAGTGCCTCATATGTACAAGGCAAGCACTCTGCCACTGAGCTCCAGCTCCAGCCCATATTATTCATTCTTAAGAAGGAAATCCATTGGCAACAATGTGGATGAAAAGCATTATTCTAAGTTAAATAAGATAGACACAGAAAGACAAATACCACATGATCTCACTTACATGTGAGAACTAAAAGAAAAAGCCAAACACATAGTAGCAGAATAGAATGGTGGTAGAAGGAGGCAATAGAGGAAGGTATAAGGAGATATCTGTCAAAACTTACAAAGTTTCAGTGAAATGGAGGAATAAGTTTTACAGATCCAAAGTGCAGCATGATAACTATAGTTAATGTTCTGTGTACTTGAAGACTGCTGAAAGAGTGGGTTTTAAATGTTTTTGTGTCACATAAAAAATTGGTGAATATTTGTAATGGTGAATATGTTAATAGCTTTAGGTAATTATTCAGTAGCATGTGTATATATATGTGTGTGTATATATGTGATATATGTATATATATATATATATATACACACACACATATATATACACATACATATATACATATATAAAACATCTGTTTTACACCCAAAATATACATAATGAAGTGTCCAGAGAGTTCAAAAGTGAGAGATGACATCTACTATGAGCAAGAAAGCCAGTTACCTTTCTTTTCAAAACAACTCTCTTTGCCTATGGCAGCTCTATGGTGATGCAAGACAATCCTGAGATGCAGTCCCTACCTTTACACAATTTATAGTACATCACAGCCTTGGAATATGTTTTAACCATTCCTTCTGTATGCTAATATCCAACAGCATGTCTTAGAATTAATTTAAAGGACATTAACTTAGAAAAACCATGATTGCTTTGCCAAACCATGGTTTTGAATATTCTTCTGTTTGCTTTGCAGAGCTGTTTCTGCCTTTTTCTGCTTGTTCTTTATGCCAGGTGGCCAGCCATTGTGTGCTAGAGCTCTACAGCAGGGGGCCAGCTGGGTTCTGGGCAGCTTCACCTGGCGGGAGACACCTACAGTGTGGAGACTAGAAGGGCCTACTGGGAGTGTTTTCCTCCCTTCTTTGGGTCCAGTTGCTTTCTCCATGACAACAGCTCCTTCTGAGCAGTCCTTCCTTAATAGCTTCTCTCTCTCTCTGATCTCTGGTGCTGGAAGTGCCCTCCGGTGTTCCTATCTCCCTTCATCTATGTCACCCTATTAGTCCTCCTTAAAGTTCTTTTCTTTTGAACTTTATAGGGCACTATCTGTTGCCTGTCAGACCCTGATAACTAAATACGGGTTATTGTACCTAAATGCAATGGTATATTTGTAGTTACTGAACTGATGAGAATAAAGCCCAACTAGACTGACCATCTACAGGTTAGATCATAATACTACCCATTTATTTTTTATCCCCAGTGCTTAGCAGAAGTCCTGGCATTCAGTGACTGTTTTTTTCAAGTTAATGAAATTTGAGTAAAACCAAGTGATCTGGCTGAGCAGGTACTATCCTGATGAGATTCTTTTCTCCATTGGTATTAAAAAGTAGCTTTTCAGGGGCTGGGGCTTAGAGCACCTACCTTGCACATGTGAGGCACTGAGTTTGATCCCAGCACCACATAAAAATAAATAAACAAAATACAGATATTAAAAAAAAAATAGCTTTTCAGGATTTCTGCTTTAACACAGTCATGGTGTGACAGCTCATGCTGAGCAAGGCACTTCAACACATGAAAGCTCTAATATTTACTTAAATTTGAAGTCTAAGCCCTTTGTGCTATTTTTAAAATCCTCCTCCCACAGATATTTGGAACCAGTTTCCATCTTATTTCTTTATCCATCCAGTAATTGGATTTATTGTCTATTAAAATTATTTTAAAATTATAAAAGAATTACATCTAGTTGTTAAAAATGCATATATTACAAGAAATAGATCTTTCCTCTTTACATCTTCATTTCACTTCCCAATGGTGATCATTCTTACTGAGATGTTTAAGATGTTTTAAGTTTTCCAGACCTTTTTCCAAACAAACAAATATGTGTCACACAGAAAGCCATTCATATATCTTCCATATGTATGTATATATATATATTTTTTTTTCTTGATACCAGGGATTGAACCCAGGAGCATTTTACCACTGACCCACATCCCCACCCCCACCCTACCTTTTTATATATATTTTATTTTTTAGAGACAGGGTCTTGCTGAGTTGCTAAGGGCCTCACTAAGTTGCTGAGGCTGGCTTTGAACTCATGATCCTCTTGCTTCAGCCTCCCAAGCCACTGCATCTTATATTTTTTTGAAATTAAACAATACTGTATTTTGAGTTCTGTGTTTTCTTTCAGTAGTTAGTATACTTTTAGATTCTTAACTACATGGAATTAATTTTGCATAAGATACAGAAGAATTTTTAATTTTTTTACAAGATAGTTAGTGGTCCATATTATATATTTTTTAAAAAATATTTTTTTTTTTAGTTGTCAATGGACCTTTTTTTTTTTTTTTTTTTTTACTCATTTGTATGTGGTGCTGAGGATCTAACCCAGCTCCTCACATGAGTGAGGCAAGTGCTCTGCCTCTGAGCTATAGCTCCAGCCCTGGTCCCATTATATTTTAATGAATGTTTTTCTTATTGATATAAAATGCCATTATTAGCCTACAGTAAATTACTTTAGTTCATCCCATTCTGTTTTCTAGTCTTCATTTTGTGTGTGTGTGTGTGTGTATGTGTGTGTGTTTGTGTGTGTGTATTCTGTTTAAACTGTTTTGCTAATTGTGGTTATGTGTTTAATATTAAGAAATTTGGATTTAGAATTATATTTAGGTCTGCTTTTCTGATCACATTTACCATTAAAGAAAGAATGTTTTTATTTCATTGTTTTTATATGTAATACTGTAAAGTTGCCTCTAGAAATCAGTTCTGGGGTTATTTTTAATCTGAAGGAATATTTTCAATATTATGAAATTTGAGTCTAAACTTAAGGTTTTATGTTATCTAAATGTTTATTTCAAAAATGTGGGAGAGGCTTTCGTTTTCATCTCTTAAAATCAGATAAAAGGAAAAAGAATGAAATCCTCAGTTTTAATGAGAATTTTGAATTACACGTTCTTTGATTCTCTGAAGAATGCTTTAAAATATCACCTTGGTTTCTCCCCCTTTTTTTACTTTTTCTCATGTTTCTTGTCTTGTTTACTTAAATTATATAAGATAAGAAGGGTACATAAAGGTTAAAGGTTGTGTACTTGCTGCTTTCTGTAGTGCTTGAGGATTGTATGTGTGCACACATTCTCAGACATTTGTAAGCCCCTTTAAGGTCCTTGTCTCTGCCATAAAGACCTGGAGATGCCAGTGATGAGTAAGAAATAGGGTAATTTTTATTCCCCCTGTGAAGGGGATGGGATCATGAGCATATTTTTTAAATAGTAATTTTACTTAAGGAAATTATTTTAAAATTTCAAAGTAACAATTTGTTCATAGAGTTTATACCCTGCAAATTTACCAGTAGAGCAGTTCCCAAGGAGATCATTAAAGGGATCCCAACTATCTTTCAAACCATATCCCAGAAGCCATAGAAATTATAAATGAATTATAATACTATAATTCATTTTAATTTGTTTTATTTCTGTAACCAGTTTAGCTATAGATATTTAGAAGTTTCTATTTTGTTTATTTCAGTTCTCCTTTGAATAGGTTATTCCTCAGTAATTTCTAATGCTTATATGTATGAACTTTAATAGCTAAACTAAGAAATAGTTTTCAAACAGTATTTATAATTTATTGTAGGAGTGGATTTGTCCAAGATAGAAAAACATCCGGATGCAGCCAACCTTCTTCTAAGACTGGATTTTGAAAAAGACATTAAGCAAATACTCCTGTTTCTCAAGGATTTGGGTTTAGAGGATAACCAGTTGGGAACATTCCTGACTAAAAACTATGCTGTTTTCTCTGAAGACCTTGAAAATCTTAAGATCAGGTAGGGCTTTTAGAATGATTTTTCACATAACCTAAGAAGTGGCTATAGAGGAAATATATGTGTAAGAAATTTTTTAAGTCTCTGTTGTATAGGATCTACTGAGATAATGAGCATGAATGTTATTTTTTTTGTTATGGATTTTCTTTGATTTGAATTATTTATTCAACTGCTTATTATTATTTCATTGTTTCATCTATTGCTAAGTCAGTACTTAACTATTTCTCTTCAGAAACTGGTATAAGTTGTTTTTTAATGACTATTAACAAATAGTTATATTTTCTGAGAGTACTCTTAGTTCTGAAAACATGATCTTGTGTGGTTTTTCTATATCCAATTTTTAATAGTAGACATTTGACATTCTGACAAATTATTGTCTAATTTTGTTAATCATGTCATAAGTTAACTATTTTGGTTATTCCTTTCTTCTTTAAATATCACTTTATTTTATTTTTTTAATTGTTGATAGACTTTTATTTTATTTATTTATATGCTAAGAATTGAACCCAGTGCCTCACACATGCCAGGCAAGTACACTATGGCTGAGCCTCAGTCCCAGCTCCTAAATAGCACTTTAATAATCAACTTTGTACTTCATTCAACATTCAAAGAATTGTTGACTGAGAGAATCTTTAGTGAGACAGTGTTGATCTGTGAGTGAAGGTCCTGCTAGGCATCAAGAACCACACAGAATAAGACAAGTCCCTGTCCTGAAGTTAACAGTTTGAATTCCCCCCAACTCTTATCTAAATCAGTCCATGTTCCAGGATTCAATAAATGGGGGGCACTATTTACTTGTTGCTGAGGAAATGCTGGTATTAACTTTGACTTCTCTTCTTTTGTCATCCACATCTAACAAATTATCAAGGCCCATTGGTTCTACTTTATTTTCTCTCAAATTAGTGTGTTTCTCTTAATCTCCACTTGAAATACTTTGCCTCAGTTCCTAATTATTTCATACCAATAATTTCATACTCCAGTAGTCTCCTAGTTAGCCTGCAACTAATCTTGACACCGCCCCCCCCATACTATTTTCCACACTGGAAAATAGCCTCCCTACATTTCAGAAAGTTTGCTGTTTCTTATACCTTCTCGAACCTTTTCTCTGAATTAGGAAAAACAAACAAAAGAAAACTATAATCCTTGCACAAAACAACTTGAGCCCTTATATAGTCAAGGCAATTGCCTGGACTCCAGACATAAAACTTGTCCCCTGTCCCATCATGTGGCTTACAGTCTAGTGTGATACAGATAGGCTGTCACAGTAAAGAGGCAGAAAGTGATTCCAGGAAACTCTTACATCCAGTGCTGCTTCCCCTGGCTGCCAGAACACTTATTGCCTCCCCACTAGACAACAAGCTTGCCTTGTTGCTCAGAAGTTGCTCCAAAGAAACATCAATACCTCACAATGGGGATTCTTTCAGAGACTATACCATGATTTTTACTGTCATTATTATACATGGTAGGCACAGAAAGGTTCAGTAATTTGCCCAAGATTAAAAGAGTTAATTTTAAGTGACAGAGCTGGAATTCAAACCCACTCAATACAACTCCAGAGTGTTGGCTATTGAGTCATAATGTTTCCCTATGTTTAATTTTGTGAAGGAAATTTAAACTTTAAAGGAACTTAAGTTACCCGTTTAAGATCACACATTCTCATAAGACCTAAGGAATCTTCTCTAATATAGATAGTTTGATCAGTGATTCCTAAACCTGGCTGACTATCAGATGGAACTGTTTAACATTTCTTAATTACTTAGAATTTTTTAATAGGTAATATATCCCCATATACTCAAAAGGACATATGATGAAAAATAAACTTCTTGACAGCAGTTTTAATAATATTTTAGTCAGACACAACATGGCTGCCCGTCCCCCTTTCCCCAAGAAAGTTATCCTATTTCCCCTCCTTCTTCTGCTCCTTGGCCTTCCAAGACTCAATTAATTTTAATAGATATTGCATTTATCTGAGTTGTTTTCCAGTTTATAATTCCCCCAGTAGTATACAGAAGTGCAATTTCTCTGTTATCTTCATTAATAGCTACTACCATCCAGGTTTGTGTCTACCTTCTAGGAATATTCTGTCCTATATAAGAATAAACACACACACACACACACACACACACACACACATACACACACATAATTGGTAGCAATTATACATACTATTTTACACCCCACTTTTCTTAACTATATCTTGGAAATGTTTCTTTCTTACACACTTTCTATTCTTTAATCCAGAATAATCCACACTATAGATCTATTTAGTACCCTACTTATAAACCTCCAGGGTCTTTCTGTTCTTTCCTGTCACAATGCTTTAGCAATTCCTGTACACCTCATTTCACCAATATTACCTGTAAGATACATTTCTAAAAGTGGAATTGAGAGGTCAAAGGATATATTCATTTGTAATTTTAATAGATATTGCATTTATTTGAATTGTTTTCCAGTGTATATTCCCCCAGTATAGAAGTCCAATTTCTCTGTTATCCTCACTAATAACAGTGTTATCAACTTTATGATTCCATCTTACAAGTAAAAATAATACCTCTTTGTTAATTTTGGAAACACACAACAAATGTTGGAGTACTTTTCATGTTACAGATTACTTTGTATGTGTTGAATTCCTATTTAAATTTCCTTTTCTGTAAATTATTTGTCTTTTGCCATTTTTTTCTTTTTTCTTTTTTCTTTTTGGAGCCAGTGATTGAACCCAGAAGTGCTGTACCACTGAGCTACATCCCAGTCCTTTTTATTTTTTTGAAACAGGGTCTTGCTAAATTGCCTAGGCAGGCCACCAATTTATAATCCTACCTCAGCCTCCCAAGTCACTGATTTCAGGTGTGTGCCGCCACACTTGGCAACATTATTTAATTGGGCTTTTTTTCTTTCTTGTAAACATTTCTTTTATATGTTAGAAACATTTGTTCTTTCTTTAAGGCATTTTGCAAATATTTTTCCCAGTCATTTTTTTGACTTTGTTTTATAGTATTTCTTCATATAATTAAATTTATCAATTGTTTCCTCTCATGCCTCAAAGGAGCTACTTTGAAGGAGTAATATTCAGCTGACTAAAGTAATTAAGTTTAGTGCAGAACCATCATAAGCTTTAGATGTAGGCATGTTACATTCTAATTTGTATTATTAGCATTGATTATTTGATGATCCAAGACAAATTATTTAGCTTCTTTGAATCTATATTTCTTCAAATGTATTGTGGATAATTTATCTGGCTCATAGAATTTTTTATTTTTCTGTAACAAGTAAACAAGATAACATCTTGATATATTTAGGCATATAATAAAACTACCCTTTACTATATTTTTAGATTTTGAAAAGTCAGTTAAACTTTTTATATTATACTACCATATTTGGGTTCCCAGAAACTTGGGAACATTTCTGAGTTGTTAACAAAATACATATTAAAAGACTGTAGTGGGCTGGGGCTGTAGCTTAGTAGCAGAGCAGTTGCCTAGCATGAATGAGGCACTGGGTTCAATCCTCAGCACCACATAAAAATAATCAAATAAAATAAAGGCATTCTGTCCATCTACCACTACAAAAAAAATTTTTTAAAAAATTCAATTGCAAAAAAAAAAGACTGTAGTAAAATTATTTATGAAAATGTATGTTAAATATGCTAACATTAAAAAAAAATCTTTTCTCAGTTGCAGCCTTTCTTCAGGGGTCCAGATCTCTTATATTCTTAGTTGGTGTTTTTCTGTTCTTAGTTTTTCTGTTATTACCATGTAATAAATCAAATTAAATGAAAAAGGAATCTACCTATTTGCTGGATTTCTGTTCTCGCGACTAAAAGGCTCAGGGGTCACTCTAGTTAAACTGGGCTAACTGGGCTGCACGAAATAACCACACAAGAGACACAAATACCCTTTTCTTTGGGGTTGCTGTGATGGCTCCTCTGACCTTAAGGGTCCGCAGAAAGAGAGAGAGAGAGAGAGAGAGCGCACATGCGCTGACTCCTTTTATTGAGGAGAAGCTATTCAAATGAGGCAAGGGGTCAGGTTTCAGGGGGCTGAGTCTATCTTCATGATGTCCACTGTCAGGTTGACTGACACCGGGGTAGGCCACACCCAAGGGCAGAGTAAGAGAAGGGGACACACACAAGATTCTATCCTAAACAGGGCAAGGGGTTATATTACAAAGGAACAGGTGAGCATAGCTTCACCCATGGGGCTGTAGCAAGACACACCCATTTCTGTGACTGAGCGCCTCAGCACCCAGCTGGGGAGTGTAACTCAGTCACCCGTAAGGTTGGCCTCCCACACCTATTAGTGGATTTCAGAATTATTTTCCGCCCAGCACACTGGTGCACACCTGTAATCCCAGTGGCACCGGAGGCTGAGACAGGAGGATTTCGAGTTCAAAGCCAGCCTCAAAAAGCAAGGTGCTAAGCAACTCAGCAAGACTCTGTCTCTAAATAAAATATAAAAAATAGGGCTGGGAATTTTAATAGATATTGCATTAAAATATCTATTAAAATTGAGTAGATTTTAAAATTCAGTGGTTGAGTACCCTCAGTTCAATCCCTGGTAGTCCCCTCAAAATAAATAAATAAATAAAAATTTTAAAGGATCTGGAGATGAAGTTCAGTGGTAAAGTGCCCCTGCATTCAGTCCCCAGTATGAAAAAATTAAAAGAAAATAAGATTTCCGTATTCCTTCAGCCACACAGGATTATTTTCTATTTTCAATCTAAACGAAAATCATTCTAGAGCCTATGGACAAATGTTCAGTTTTATCCATGTTCACATCATTATTACAGAATTTTTTTTATTTTATTGTATTTTTCTATTAAGGAATGTTTTCTATTTTATTTTGTTTTTCTATGATTTATTTATCCTTTATTTTTTCTTTATAATTGTGAAGCTAGTAAATGTTTACCATATACATGTATTTTTGTTTACTTTTCTAGGGTGGCTTATCTACAATCAAAAAATTTTAGTAAGACAGATATTGCACAGATGGTCAGAAATGCCCCATTTCTGCTGAATTTTTCAGTGGAAAGACTGGATAACAGATTGGGATTTTTTCAAAAAGAACTTGAACTTAATGTGAAGAAGGTAAAGAATGAAGAGACTTTGTACATTTTCTTGTTAGGACATTTAGTAACTGTTAAACCTCGTGTTTCTAACAAATGCTGGCTCATCTGAATTCTAAAAAGTCTTGGTATTTTTTAAGAAAATGAATTACCCTGCTAGTTTAAACATAAAGCTTCATCATTTTATAGTATTCCATCAACTTGGAATTTTTAAGGCTTGTTTTCAATATTTGTTTTTTCCTCAAACAGTATTATATTTTTCTGAGGTACCTATCATTTCTCCAGCTGGCTCATCTTTTAAATTTTAGCTTATTCCCTCTAATGCCTTAGTTTTCCAAACTAGTTAAATGTGCATATATAGTAATAATAAATTGTTTTGTCTCTAATTATAGACTAGAGATCTAGTTGTTCGTCTTCCAAGGCTACTAACTGGAAGTCTGGAACCTGTGAAAGAAAATATGAAGGTAGGACAGTGTAAAGCTTTTGAGAAATCATTTTCTTTCTTTACGTGTTTAAGCCCTTCGAAGGGAATACATTTTGCTATTGTCATCTTAAAGAAAATTGGATTTTGAAAGAATTTATTTATAAAAAGACATAAAATATATAAAATATAATATAAAAATATCTAGCAAGAAATTTGTGTCATTTAATGATATTTTCATATATTGATCAGATGTTACATGTGTAAGTCATCTTGCAGACACTGGTACCTATTGGTAGTATCTGGAAACTGCTTCTGTTGCCTGGCATGAGAGGCTATGTCTATATTTCCTAATCTGTGTTATCAATCTATGAAAATGCTTGTTTGCCCATTGTGACTCTTTCTATGTCTTAGGGCATTTGAGAGGCTGCATCTAAAAGACTTATGAACAGCGCAGTGGGCAGCACATTGCTATCCTTGACACCTGTGCCAATTGCCAGCTCTAGTTCTGTCACAGAACATATCAGATATTCTTTATTGTCTTTCCTCCAAAAGAAAAGTATGAAGCCAACGGCAAACAAAGAGTTAATACACAAAGCTGTAGAAGTGTCTGAAATTATATAAGGCCTATTCTCTGAGGTCCTGAAGTGTTTCATTCTTGGATAAAGAAAATGTAGTATGTACACACAATGGAGTGTTACTGAGTCATAAAGAAGAATGAGTTTATGACATTTGCCAGTAAATGGGTAGATCTGGAGACCATCATACTAAGTGAAATAAGCAAGTCTCCAAAAGTCAAAGGTTGAATGTTTTCTCTGACTTGTGGGAGCTAATCCACAACAAGAGGTAGGGGGATGGCAGGGGAAGAATAGAAGTTCAGTAGATTAAACAATGAGGAATGTTGAAAAGTGAGGGAGGATAGGAAAAGGAAAGACAATGGAAAGAATCTGACATAATTTTCCTGTGTACGTATATGAAAACATCATAGTGAATCCCACCATCATGTACATACACAAGAATGGTCCTAACTAGAATAAGATATATATTCCATGCTTATATAATTATATCAGATGCATTCTACTGTCATGTGTAACTAAAAAGAACCAATAAACAAAAATAAATAAGTAAAGTGTTTTGTTCTCAGTGCTAGGGAGGTAGTCTGTGCTTGTGGAGCTTAGAATCTGGTAGGGGGATAAAGTAAGGAATATTAAGAGTGATGGCTTGGTGGGGGAGCATTGGACACTGTGAAAGTACATGGAGAACCTACCCCTGTATGAGTGTTTAGTTTTGTCTTCTGTTTGGAATTTGGACATGTAGGTTTTTAAATAACATGTATATGATTGTGCTTTGGGAATGAAAACTCAAAAGCACTTTGGAATCTTAATGCTGGTCTATTTGTACCCAGCCCATGCAGCCATCCTGTCCAGGCCTCCCTTGTGCACTGTTATCCCATCTCATAATTATGCTGCTGCTTCTTGATGATCACCCATCATTTTCAGGAGATGGGTTTGAAATTCTGGTTACCCCAGAAGTAGTAAGCACTAATCCCTTGAGGGCATTGACATCTGTCCCCAGATTTTAAAATGTCATTATTTTAAATTTTGAGATAATAATCAATGTGTCCTTTAGTGTAGTGCCAAAATAATTATTTCTATTTACAACTTATAACAAATTAATTTTCCTATAGGTTTATCGTCTTGAACTTGGTTTTAAACATAATGAAATTCAGCATATGATCACCAAAATCCCAAAGATGCTAACTGCAAATAAAAGGAAACTTACGGAGACTTTTGATTATGTTCACAATGTGATGAGCATTCCCCACCACATCATTGTCAAGTTCCCACAGGTAATGCATGCAGCTCATGGCTCACTCTGAGAGCTGCCCTTGCGTTGCATTCAGGGCTACTACCATCCAGGTGCATGGTGGCATGTAGCTGTGGGAAGTTCACAGCTGCAGGGCAGAGGTCTGCATCTCCTAAAGAGAATTAGTGATTTGTCTGTGTCTCTTGGGTTGCCACCTACTCCTCATTCCTGTTGGAATCAGGGAGAAGAATGTGTTTTTCTTTGTTTTTCTCCACTTAAATTCCCTTAAAGATCCTTTCAGTGCTACATGAACTTTTCATTCACAGTCTAAATCTATGAATTAACAAGTGATATCATAGTGCTCTCCTACCAAAGCATAAAATAGTTCTAGTTTGTCATTATGCCAAAGCAATAGTTACATTTTCTGAACTAATCAGACTTTGCTTCTTTTTTAACTCCGGAGTGGCATAGACTTGTCTGATTCACACATGGCTGACTCCCCAAATCTAGAACTACACTTGGCACTTAGTAGGCATGCAATAAATATTTGTTGAACAAAAAGTATTAAAAGCTACAGTTGTTGGAATTTGGCTGATGGAGCAATTATAATGTAAGTAATTTTCAACTGAAAAGCAGTCACAATTTGTTTCCCCTGGGTTAGTGGGTAATTCAGTGACAATAGATCATGATAAGAGAATCTAACCTTTGTCCCCTCTAAACCCTAGTGGTTTAGTCATTTACTTAGTATATAATGAGCATCCACTATGTGGGCACTAAGGATATAAAAATAGATTTGGCTTGCATTCTTGTGGAACTTATAATGTAGTGTGGTAGACAGGGTTCTAAGAATATGATTGTTTTACATAATGTTAGGTTCTCAAGCAGAGGTCTGGTAGAGCAGTTATTCATTGTAGAAGTAGAAGAATCCTAGTAAGAGCTATTGTGTGCTTACTGTGCCAGCTCCATCTCTACTGCTTTCCTTGTACCAACTCAGTATAATAATAACAACCACCATATGAGTGCTATTTTCATCCCTATTTTACAAATGAAGAAAGTAAGCATAAAGGGATTAAGTAACCTGCCCAAGGTTACCAAGTAGGGGCAGGATTAGAACTATGTCAGTGGAGTTTAAATCACACACTTTACCAGGTATGCCACCACTCGAGAAGTGATGTTCCTCAGTCAAATAATGAGTGGCACTTAACAGAGGGAGAGAAACCTTCCAAGTGGAGGAAACTATAAACTGACAGGTACATCACAATCATTTGTTCAAAGCCCAGTCATGTAACTGTTGCTTCCAAATTGGGATTCTTAGGTTCCTGAGGTCTGGGTGTATTGCTGAAAAGTCAAAAAGTCAAATGGGGAAGTATATTAACTGAGAGGCTATGAGGGACCTGGTAAAACTGTTAAGATTTTGGCAAATGTTTTAAAATTTAGTGGTATGAAACTAATTTCATACAATAATGGTTGTGGTTGGCATATATATCTTATGATTAATTAAAATGGAGAAAGGATTAGAACTTCATAACTGGTTAATTAAGTCATCTTAAAGAAGAGGTCACAGAAGGTAAAGGATAACAAAAGCAGCTTCAGAGTCATGAACATTAAATCACTAAGGAAGAAGGAAGGAGGTTATATATTCAGGATCCCCTTAAACCTGCCTATCCACTCCCAACTGAATTTCAGTAATGCTCAGGTTAGAGGACCTTTTTTTTTTTTTTTTAATCCCTAAGACTAATACATCATTAACAAGATGAAATTGGTTGGCATATATACCATAAAATTTTTGTGACAATGGCAAAGTAGTCCTTGGTGGTCAACAACTCTCCATCCTCAAATTTAGTGATAAAGAAACCTTGAGTTATTGGAAAAGTAAACAATAGCTGATCATGAGCTATATAAATAGTTCAGACTATTATTGATTCAGAATCATTTGTGGTGTTGTCTCTTGTATGATAATTTTTAAAGCCCAAGAGTTACTGCCTAGGAGCCATACTTGGGAAAAACTAAAACTAAAGTATCTCACATCATCATTAGCAAAATAATGTAGTAATAGGAAATTAAGTTACCAAAAATGAGGGCAGAACAGGATGTCATTTGTTTTTGCATAGACAGAAAAAAGGACATGTATTGTTCCAAAAGCATACCAGCCCCATGCTGAGTTAGCACCCTGTGCTATTTTTGGTCACTGTTCTCAAAGCAAGGTTTCAACAGTTTTGCACAGTGTCCTATCCAAGTCAACTATTATTATTTTGTTTCCAGTTGAACATTGGGAAAGAGGCCTCGAGGTTATGTGCCATGCCGAGTATTATCACTGTGTCTGGTACAAGCAAGAGGAGAGCTCCAGAACTCACACTAATAGGTCATCTGGGTCTTTCCAGAAGTCTCCCAGATGTCTTGACCTCTTGCACAGGTGTGGCCAGACTTCCCATTTCACCTTCCTCTCTTGCAGTGGTCTGTAGGGACCTGGCCTGCTTCTTATTGCTTTTTAATGTGGGTTCCACACTCCCTACTCCTTGGGAGTTTTAACCTGAGGTAGGGAGACATACTTTCCCTAGTTGATCAGATCAGATGAATTTCATTTTGATTGCAGTAATTTAAAAAATAGGGAAGCTTTGCAGATTAGGAGATCTTACTTTTTTTTTTTTTTTGCAAACATAACTCTTGATCACTTATTGGAATTATCTTGAAGCCTTATTAAAACATTTCTAAGCCCTGCTCTCAAGGTTTCTGATGAGGTAGTTTTGGGAATATGTAGTTTTGGGATGAGGCCTGAGGGTTTGCTCTTCTAATAGATTGTCTCTGGAGTAGTCTATGTTCTTTGCCCACTGTGTAGCCCTTAATTTATTATTCTGCTTATTAGCTTTGAGTCCTGTTTTAATTATAATTTCTTCTTTTAAAAATATTTTTTAGTTATACATGGATACAATATCTTTATTTTGCATATTTATTTTTTTATGTGGTGCTGAGGATCGAACCCAGTGCCTCACATGTGTGAGACAAGTGCTGTGCCACTGAGCCACAACCCCAGCCTCTAATTATAATTCCTTATCTAATGATTTTATTGGGGTGCTTGGGATCAAACCCAAGCCTCTCATATGCTAAACATGTACTCTGAGCTATAACTCTAGTCTATTTAGTCATAATTTCTTAGCAGAAACTACAGAATTTAAGTCTTGTTGCATTAGTCATATTTAGTGAATATGTGGTCAGTATATTTGTTAACCTATTAAAATATCTGGCTAAGTAAACTTGAAATTTCAACTTTTATTGTATAATGTTTTTAAAACATTTTTCTTTTTCCAGGTATTTAACACAAGGTTGTTTAAAATCAAAGAAAGACACCTATTTCTTACCTATTTGGGAAGAGCACAGTATGATCCAGCAAAACCTAATTACATCTCTTTGGACAAATTAGTATCTATTCCTGATGAAATATTTTGTAAAGAGATTGCCAAAGCCTCTCTACAGGACTTTGAAAAATTCTTAAAAACTCTTTAGTTTTTGATCAATATTAACATGTAATGTTGTAAAATGAACATATGTATGAGTAAAATATATTTTAAAATAAATGCCTTAGGTCTCAATTTATATTAGAAACAATTTTTTTGATATTATATATTTGGGTACATACATTCTGGTAGAACTTTCTTACAAGTTACTATTGACTTAATTCTTATTTTGCTCAACCATGTCCTCAACTAAAATTAATAAGCTTAGAGAAAAGAAGTGAAGTGAGAGTACTATATGCTGGTACTTTGCCATTCTGATGAATATGGCAACAGTGGAAGGTTTTCCTGCTCTAACATTCACAAATCTTTTCAAGTGGTTTCATTTCTTTAGGTGGCTTTATTTCCTTTGAAATGTTATGAGTTTCTAGAGCATAATACACCACCCATCTAATAACTACTACTCAATGCTCCAAACATATTCTACTTTGGATTATCTACAATGTTGTCTTGCTGAACACAGATATTCAAAATTGCCTGTAATTGGCTACTAAAATTCAGCAAAGGGAAAGGGACAAGGAGGAAAGTTTGAAGAGGAAGAGAGGCAGTAAGACAGTAACAGCCATAATAAACTAACTTACTACCAGCAAGCAGATCTATAACATGAATACCCTCACCACATGTATTATCCTGGGCAAGTGATTTTATCACTGAGTCTTTGCTTCTATATTTGTAAAATAAGGCACCATGACTATCTGCCTTAGGATCACCAGATTGGGTAGACTTTAACATCGATGTACTCAATGAACCGTACTTGTTATTTTCACTCTTGAGAAATTCCTTCTCTTAATAGCCAATGAGATTTGGCCCATGGGGCATATGGGACATTATCAAGTAGATTCTTTTTTGTTGTTGTTGTTAACCTTTTATTTATTTATTTTTATGTGGTGCTGAGGATCAAACCCTGGGCCTCACATGTGCTAGGCAAGCACTCTACCACTGAGCCACAACCCCAGGTCTCAATTAGATTCTTAATAAACATTTGGATATTGGGGTATGCTTGGAACCTTGTGCTATTATTTAAAGAGGTCTAGTCATTCTACTGGAGAAGCGAGTTGGAAAGAAAAAAAGAGATACCTGGCCAAACCCCTTGGTCCACACATGCCAACCAAATGCCAGATGTGTGAGGCAGCTATGAACTATGTAGAAATATGTAGCTGGATTCAAAATTGGAAGAAATTGATTTAAAGTCACCAACTTTGGGGGTTATGTGCACAAGCATTTTGTAGTGTGCCTGATGTCTTGAAAGAAACTTGAGAAACCTAATTTGTAATTGTTCAGAATCAGGTATAGTGTCCTTCCTGTAAAGATACTTTGTTCATTCACTCAGCAAACATTTGAGGTCCTAAAACACAGTGGCAAAGGTGACACAGATGTGTGCTTTCAGAGTATTCTCCAACAGATGAAGTCAATAAACAGGAAACAATGAAGAAAGTACTGCTGGGAAAACAACATGGAACTATCTTGCCTGGTCTTCCTGCACCACAGAACTTCATTTTGCCATTTTAAACAATATCAGATTAGGTTAGCTATGCTACAGTAACAAATGTTCCTAAAATCCCGAGTGATTTAAAAATCATACACATTTCTTCTCATACACACTCTTGGGACCACAAGGGCTGTGTTCCATGTTATTTTGGTTATACAGGTCAATGTATCCTGAATGTCTTCTGGCTGTACATGATGTAGAATCACACCAGTCATGTAATCATATATGTACACAGAGTGATTTTACGTCCAGTTCATTCTACAATGCTTCATACCCTTCCCTTCCCTTCACTCCCCTCTGCCTAATGCAAAGTACCTCCAGTTTTCCTTAGCCCCCTCCCCTTATTGTGAAGTAGCACCCACATATCAGAGAAAACATTTGGCCTTTGGTTTTGGAGGACTGGCTTATCTCACTTAGCATGATATTCTCCAGGTTCATCCATTTACTGGCAAATGCCATAATTTTATTCTTTAAGGCTGAGTAATATTCCACATTGCTTTATCCATTCATCTGTTGAAGGGCATCTGTTGTTTCCATAGTTTGGCTATTTTGAATTGAGCTACTATAAACATTGATGTGGCCACATCACTGTAATTTGCTGATTTTAAGTCCTTTGGATACAAACAGGAGTGGGATAGCTGGGTCAAATGGTGGTTCCATTCCAAGTTTTCTAAGGAATCTCCATACTGCTTTTCATAATGGTTGCACCAATGTGCAGTCCCACCAGCAGTGTATGAATGTACATTTTCCCCTACGTCCTTGCCAACATTTGTTGTTGCTTTTATTCTTGATAACTGACATTCTGACAGCAGTGGAATGAAATCTTAGTTTTGATTTACATTCCTCTAATTGCTAGTGATGTTGGACATTTTTTCATATATTTGTTGATCAATTGTTTATCTTCTGTGAAGTGTCTGTTCAGTTCCTTAGCCCAATGCCTAACTTTTAAAAAGACAAAGAAGTGTAATCCCTACCCTATATGAATAGGGAAGAAACCTAAAATACTTTTTGAATCAGCAATAACAACCTACCTGGAAACATACAGGCTCAAGGCTTAATTCCTAGAGGAGCTGAAGTGTGCAATCCTGGGTATCTGATCCCTTGACATAGGTCTTCCTTTTCTGGCCATTTGCACCCTGTAACCAGCTGCTGTAACTTAAAGGATACAGAAGAGTTTACGGAATAACTCTTCCTTCAGTCATGCTAATGCTACCAATTGTTTTTTGACCCTAGATTTTTATGCCTTTGTAAAACAATGTGCCAATGTACAAATGCACTGCATTTCTTCATCTTTCAAACTTGAACATTGCTCATGTAGGCTAGAATCAGTCATTCGTAAGTTTTTAGTCCTGCATACAGAACCAAGTCATAACAAGAAATTGTGGTAGCAGAGACAGAAGGACAAAGAAGGCAATATAACTTTAGAATTGGTTCGTGACTAAGATCATTAAATAACACTTCAGCTTAAAACTGAAAGGGAAAAAAAAGTAAGATATTATCTGGTAATGGTGGAAGCACACCAGTAACTATCAGTCATGCTAATGCTACCAATTGTTTTCTGTCCTAGATTTTTATGCCTCAGACTTTACATGTTGAGGCTAAGAACTTGAAAATGGACAAAACTATGTATTTACTCCTCTTTATTTTAAATTATATGCAAATCCTACTATCTCTCTTAGATTTAATATTTTTAAAACTTGTTTTTGAGATGCTGGGGATTGAACCCAGGGGCCCTGTGCCACTTAGCTACATTTCAAGCCCTTTTTTATTTTGAGACAGGGTCTTACCAAGTTTTCCAAGGTGGCCTTAAACTTTCAATCCTCCTCCCTTGGCCTCCAAAGTCGCTGGGATTACAGGTGACCACCACCAGACCTGGTAATAGTTTTAACTTTTTTGACCCAACCTGTCATTAAAAATGGTTTGATGTAGAACTTCAGCTGGAGAAACTGAAGACCAGAAAGGTTTATTTCCTTACTTGATTACAGTAGTGTATCTCTTATGGCTCTAGAATTAAAGAGGTTTGGATTTGTATCTGGATTCTCAGATTTTATCTCCGTTCTTCCTAGCAGTGTCAAAGAGGACAAGCCATTCAATCTTTCTGAATCTCACCTTCTTCTCTTTAAAAGAAGATAATCACATTCTCATCATAGATTGAGAATTAAATGAGGATTCAATCCTCCATTTCCGAAGGTTTCTCACTTGTGGATTCAGTCCACCACGGATCAAAAATATATGAAAAACATTGCATCTGTATTGAATATATAGACTTTTTTCTTGTCATTCCCTAAATAACGCAGTACCACAACTATTTACATAGCATTTACATTGTGCTGAGTATTAAAAATAATCAAGAGATGATATAAAGAACACAGAAGATGCGTGTAGGTTATAAGCAAATACTACACCGCTTTTTATTAAAAAAAAAAAAAAACTTAAAACATTCAGGGAGAGCCTCTGGGCTAATGGATCCAATCCCCCAGCCCATGCCGAGGTGCTGTATACCTGAAAGACGTCACCCAAGTTCTTATAGCTGGTAAGCAGCAGAACCTGCACTAAATCCGGGGTCTCCTAACTCCTTGCCTAGTGTTCTTCTCATCAAGTCACAAGTCTCGGAAGAGCACGCAAAACGCCGAGCTTATACCATTGATATCACCGGCTTAATGGGCCACAGCAGGTGCCAATGATGTCCATCAGAACTGCGCCTGCGCGGACTTCTTCCGTCGACTGCGGAAAGGAACAAGGCGCCTGCGCACTGCGCCCGGTGCGTCCTCTAGGACGTACCCAGAAGGCAGCGCTTTGCTCCCGGGTCAAAATGGCGTCAAGGCCTGCTGGTAAGTGACTGAGGTCGTTTCTGGTGGGAGCCGCGGTTTTCAGCATTATTTTAGCAGCGACTTGTTCTTTTTCTGATCTCTCAAAATGGCCAGGTTTACGACGTAAAGGAAAGTGGCGGCGCCATTCCACCGAAAGAGACGCGCTTCCCTTTTCCAGGTCCTGCTTGCTTTGGGGTTGGGACAGGACCTGCTTCTTTGAAGGTGCAACGGCGGCTGCCGCTGCTCGGCATCCTTCCCCTCAGCCCTGGAAAGGTTTAAGGACTCGAGGAGATAATTAGTGGGTGACAGCGAAAGTGAACCGAGTGCTTAATGAGCCAAGCCCCATCAATTGCATAGTCTCGATCAGTCCTACTATTGCTATTTTACGTCGGTAGAAGACAGCAGTTACTGCAAGAAATGATATTGGAGCCCTTCCTTATTCCGCCCCTGGCGCTTCTCCCTGGCAATTAGAGGTAGCTGAGCGAGGTTTACAGTTTGACCTTGGCTTATCTGGAACGTGAGTTTGATCTGTAGGTTTGGAGAAATATATTTATTATAGACACTGAAAAGCAAACACATTTATTATAGAATATAATGCAGAAATTTTCGGAATATTTAAAGCAACCTCAGATAATGTTTTTTTTTCCTTTTTCTTTTTGCTAATCTCTGCCCTCTGGCGGTGTAAATTGGAATAGTTTTTAAAATATTGGTCCTTGTCTTGTTTCCAGCAATTGTGAAACCATTAATGAAAGAAATTACCAGGTAAATCTGTTAACCTAAATGACATTAAGCTTTTAGGGAATGGAGAAGACATATAAGAATTTATTATTTGGGCTGGGGATGTGGCTCAAGCGGTAGCGCGCTCGCCTGGCATGCGTGCGGCCTGGGTTCGATCCTCAGCACCAGATACAAACAAAGATGTTGTGTCCGCCGAAAACTAAAAAATAAATATTAAAAAAAAAAATTCTCTGTCTCTCTCTCTCTCTCAAAAAAAATAATTTATTATTTAATTGATATGACATATTCAAGGAATCTTACTAAAATTCAGGGCATTCTGCTTCTGTGCTGTTTGGGAACCACATGTACCTATTAGTAGCTAACTCTGAGTAAAATCACTTCTGTAGGCCTGCTTCTTTTTATTTTTTCATAGCTCTTAATTACCAAGGAGATTTGTTAAAGCCATGTTTTCCATAACATACTAAGGATTCAGGGCCTGGTGGCGTTATAATGAAAGGAGAATTTGCCCTTCTTCCTTAGTAAGGCCTAACTCTAGAAGAAATTTTAAAAGAAAGTTTAAACTTGTTCTAACTTCCTGTCTATACCATATCTCTCTGATAAATATCAGGCACAGTCGTGTCCTTGGCCCCTACTGGAATACCTCAGTGAGGCTTAGCCTTGTTCTCCACAGAATTTTAACATTACCTATTTCTCCTTATCCATGGTCAAATATTTATTCTCTTTAAGGAAAGTTAACTGCTTGAAAGGAGGAAATGGGTTTATTTTTCTAATCCATATTAATGTCTAAATTACTAACAGTATAAAATTATTTCAGAAGGACATATATTTTAAAAGAGGATAGCCAAGTCAAATAATGGTAATGTCGACTAAAAATTTTAGCAGATGGGAATCTTTACACCTGAAATATCACCCTTCTTTTCATACCACTTCTTTTGAAAATAAAATTTTATAGTTATTCATGTAAAGTATTTCTGTAACTGGAAAATGACAGAAATCCTCCAATACCTTTCCTGTATCCGCCCCTTCAATTCTAGTGGTAGGTGGACATAAGGGCACTGCATGTTGGACTTAGACTGGAGTGACAATAATGTACCTATGGATCATTTGTACACTTTTGTTTGAGTTTACCTGTTTCTCCCATGACTTGATACAAAATTTTTTTTTACCTGAAGTCACTTCTTATTCATAGATAAAATAAGCAATTCATGTATAGAATATAAACTTTTAAAAGGAAATTTCTTCTTATATTTGTAAGAAAATAACTGTAGGAGTACCAATTGCTTATCTATCACTGTATTCATAGAGTATAAATGAATTGAAGCAACTAACTGTGATAATTACCAGTTGCAGCATCAGGCCGATGGCTGGAAGGTATTCGAAAATGGTATTATAATGCTGCAGGATTCAATAAACTAGGTGAGTATTTGTGCTTTCTTCTGTTTTCTTTTTTCCTTTTTCTGAGAGTAGTGCTTTTGTATGATTTACTATGGTTCCAAAAATACTTTGTTTCTGTGTACATCAAAAAATTTTAAAATTAGACTACACTTTATTGGTTTTTGTTCTTTTTGAGAGAAGAGGGATGAAATGTTTGAGGTGGAAACAGTTTATGGTTGCAGAACGTTTTCCTTATATTTTCCCTCTCCCAATTCTACTTAAATCTAAGTCATGTGAACATTGAATAAAAAGATATTTTTTTCAAAAATTTAGATTGAATCATATTTTACAATGTGACATAACATTTTTTTGAACTTTATAATTTGCTGTGAACTTCATCTTTTGCTATTAAAGCTTAGTGGAAAGCATTATTAAATGTTACTGAGTCTTTAGTTCACTGACATTTTATGATTCTTTAACATCTTTTTAAAAAATATATTTTTAAATTGTAGATGGACATAATACCTTTATTTATTTATCTTTATGTGGTGCTGAGGATCGAATCCAATTCCTCACACATGCTAGGTGAGTGCTCTACCACTGAGCCACAATTCCAGCTCAAGATTCTTTAACATCTTGATCTCAGATTTGAAGTATAAGAAAATAGAGATGTTGGGCTGGGGATGTGGCTCAAGCGGTAGCACGCTTGCCTGGCATGTGTGCAGCCCGGGTTCGCTCCTCAGCACCACATACAAAAACAAAGATGTTGTGTCTGCCGAGAACTAAAAAATAAATATTAAAATTCTCTCTCTCTGTCTAAAAAAAAAAAAAGAAGAAAGTAGAGATGTGGCTTATGGATATGTGTTCAAGGAAAAGCTAAACATATGAAGTATTTTTGGAACTGGATTAGATGAAATATTGTAATTTGTAATGGTTTTTGTAAGAGGCCCATATATTGCTTCAAGAAATAACTCATTATGTGGTTGAGATGCTTTAGGTTTCAAAACATCATACCTAGTGATTTAAACTCTTGATATTTCACCTGTCTTAAGATATGTCATACAGATATTGTACACCCCCCAAAAAAGAAAAATCCTTACTTTTTGAAATGCATATTCAATCTCTCTTTTATTCTCTACCATAGGGTTAATGCGAGATGATACGATATATGAGGATGAAGATGTAAAAGAAGCCGTAAGAAGGCTTCCTGAGAACCTTTATAATGACAGGATGTTTCGCATTAAGAGAGCACTGGACCTGACCATGAGGCAACAGATCTTGCCTAAAGAGCAGTGGACAAAATATGAGGAGGTGGAACAGCTATTATGTGTCTAACAGTGTTGTCCTTTAAGGGTGGAATATTAGAAACAAAAGAAGGACATTTATTTTTGTAGTACTGTAGAATTCTCAAAGTTGTATCAAAGAAATATCCTTTCAATAGCCCGGGTAGGTTAGCAGGGAAAGTGTTGGCTCCACGTTAGAGAAAAGTACATTGAGACTAGAAGTGAGGTGACTTCCAGAATCACTAAATAGGTCTTAATATAGACAGTTAGGATAGAATCCAAGTCTTTTGCTTCCCAGGCCATTGTTCTGCCTCTATAGTTGGCTTCCTGCTCAGATGAAAACATTTTGGTGTTCATATAAAGCCCGCAGAATGGTCCTCTAATGCCCAGGAATGACTTGTAAAGCATATTCTCACCCTTTGATCTGCACTAAAAAGAGACAAAAGCCTGTAGACACTGATTTCTTTTTCTTTCCTGGTGGACCCCTCTCTCATACTCTATTAAAGCAATTTATTGCATTGGGGTTTTGCATTTTCAAAAGTAGATAGTTTTTAGTCTGGTTGAGAATAAATTTTCTTAATATAATGATATATATTTTTTTGAAATAAAAGGTAGTTAATTTTAATGTTTAAGACCTATTTGTTTTTTAAGACCTATTGAATATTTGGGATATGTCAGTATGTGATGGTAGAATATAATATTTTTCTTTTGCTCATTCTTTAGGATAAATTCTATCTTGAACCATATCTCAAAGAGGTTATTCGGGAAAGAAAAGAAAGAGAAGAATGGGGAAAGAAGTGATCGTGTAGTTGAAATCTGTGGAAACAGTTGTCCTCATATTTTTATGAAGTCGGTTAAATCTGAAACATACAATTTAAAAATTATTTCATGTGCATATATGTTACTTTAAATAAATGTCTATCATAATCATTATTGAAGTTTTTGACTTCTAACCTTAGCCTGATAAGTACTGAATTCACTTATCTGACACAATTCTTTCCAGACTTTTAAGATATTTTAAGTCAGTGTTCAACTGCTTCTGGGAGATTAGAGAGGCCACTTGAATCTTTCCCTCATTGTTAGGATAACCTCTTAGTTTTCTGAAGGATATAACATTCTACCAAGCAGAATCACCTTGTTTAGATGGCGTTTCTCAACTTGAAAGGTACTTGAGGGCTGCATCAGGACCTGACTTGGCAGATATGGAAAGGGGCAAGAAACAAGAGTACTCAAGCAGAATGGCTTTCAGCTTCAGAAGAGACTGAAAGAAGGGAGACAGAAACAGCTCTTCAATCACTGCTTTCCAAGTAGATTTATTTTTCATCCTTCTATTAGAAATAGATTATGTGTACACCTTAATATGAGTATATCTAAGTTACATGTGCTAATAATGTAGGTTAGAAAAGTAGATACTAGAAAAATATACAAATGCAAAGAAATTATATTTAAACGATTGTTGTAAAGCATATTGTAAATTTTGGGCACTAGTCCATTAAAAGTTTTAAGATTATAGGCTAATTTTAAAAATATACATTAGAATTATTCATTGTCCTCATTTCCACCCCTAAATTCTTAAGTGCTTTCTTCAGAGGTGAGAGCATGGAAACCATAGTGAGCTAGGAAGGAATGGTAGGAACTGTGGTGTATAGTGTTCCACATCCACTGCTGTGTGAGGGAAGGTATCTGATTGGAATCTTACCGTGAAGGACAAGACAATAGAATGAGAAACAAATTTTGTGTTATGTTTGAAATTCATAAAATGTGCTGTTGGTACTTTTTTTACAAAAGGAGGTATGTTTGAAAGACATGTTTGAGGGCTGGGGATGTGGCTCAAGCGGTAGCGCGCTCCCCTGGCATGCGTGCAGCCCGGGTTCGATCCTCAGCACCACATACCAACAAAGATGTTGTGTCCGCCAAGAACTAAAAAAAGATAAATATTTAAAAAATTTAAAAAAAAATGAAAGACATGTTTGACCTTTGCAACATGATCATAAAGAGCATCTTAAAAAGTTGTGCTAAAATATTAGAAAGCCTTGTTAAATTCTGTAAGGGAGCTGGGGATGTAGCTCTGTACTAGAGTATTTGCCTGGCATGAGTGAGGCCTTTGGTTTGATGCCCAGCTCTGGAAAAAATATTTTTTTCCTTAGGAGCCTCTCAGATATTCAGACTGTATTTTGAATACATAATCTGAAAATTGTTCTTATTTATTCTCTTTATTCTGATTTAGATTCTCATTTGATAATGATTTTGCTCACCATAAAATCTATTCTTTTAAATCATTGATTTTTAAGTGCTGCTAACATTTAAAGCAAGACTAGGGGAAACACCGGCAGAGAATCAAGCAGCTGACCAAGATTAAGGTCTACCATGAAGAGGGGCTTCTTGTCTGCTCAAAATGTGACAGAACAGTAGAGCAGCCTCTGACTTTAACAAGAGTTCCTCCTAAAACCAAATTGTGCCTATTCTACATTGCTTGATTACTTTTTTTTTTTTTTTTTGAGGCACTCAACCATGTCCTTTTTACTTTTTATTCTGGAGATAGGGTCTCACCAAATTGCTTAGGGCCTTACTAAATTGCTTAGGGCCTTGCTAAATTGCTGAGGCTGTTTTTGAACTGGAGATCCTCCTTGCCTCAGCCTCCTGAGCTGCTAGGGATTACCTTTGTCTACATGACAAAAACTCAGGAGGATTGCAAGTTTGAGACAGCCTCAGCAATTTATCAAGGCCCTATGCAACTTAACAAGACCCTGTCTCAAAATTTAAAAATTTTTAATAAGGAAATGGGGATGTGGCCCAGTGATTAAGCAGTCCTTGATTCAATTTCTATTTGTCCCCAGGCACCCCCAAAAAAGGCTTTGTGTTATCAAAACTGTCCTGTTTGAAAAATCACTGTAGGAGTGTCTGAAACTGGCCTGTTATCCTGAAGACAGAATAAGAGAGCTTATTGTGGATCAGACCACTTATCTTCAATTCAATGCATTCACTTAATGTATAGGGATGTGATTTAATCTTTATGCTTGTTTCCTCAACTCTAAAATGGGGCTAATGATACAACCTATTTTATAGGGCTTTTGTGAAAATTTATTCACTTCATTTTCTAAGTCAAGCACTTAGAACAGTTTGGCACACTGTAGTTGCTTTGTAAAGGGTTCATTTCTCTTTTTTAAATATTTTTTTAGTTATAGTTGGGCACAATACCTTTATTTTATTTATTTTTATGTGGTGCTGAGGATCGAACCCAGCTCCTTGCATGTGCTAGGTGAGCACTCTACTGCTGAGCCACTACCCCAGCCCAGGTTCATTTCTTTATATGAAGAGAGGGGAAAATAAAATATTTGAGAAAACAGACTGACATCAAGTCTAATAGTTGACCAGTAGTGAAGGTCCGGGGTACTCTCTTTCATCTTCTATGAAACACTCTCACTTTTCATCTGTCTAATCCCCTTGGATATCTGACCTCCTTGAATGAAATATCTATTAACTGAGATGAGAAGAGGAGGCATTGGATCTGTATGACAGCTTCATTTAGATGAAGCCTGGCTAAGACTTTATTGTCTCACTGTTTTGCCTTTTAGATTGACAGTATTTTCAAACTTCTCCTAGTGACACTTCAACCTTCATGTTGCCAAGGTGTAGAAAGCAGAGTAAAGCCTGTTGGGGCCTCAGACACCCCCAGTGCTGACCTTGGTCCTAATTCCATGATACCTGGAAATATTTGATAACATTTCTGAACCAAGTTTTCATGACCTAAATATTTTATGTGATTGTCTATGTGTGGTACAAAAATGTTAACTAAAAAACCTTCATTAGCAGCATCTGTGCTTATTTTTAAATTCTATAATCTTAATAAAATGCAAAGTGTAGATTGTGGTAACAATTTCTTGTAGCTGTTTAAGGAATCACTTTTATTTTTGAATTTTATTTTTAATTTTTTTGGTATCACAAAATTGAACCCATGGACATTTAACCACTAAGCAACATCCCCTGCCCTTTTAATATTTTATTTATAGACAAGGTCTCACTAAGTTACTTAGGGCCTTGCAAATTGCTAAAGCTGGTTTCTCCCAATCCTCCTGCCTCAGCCTACAGAGCAGCCACTGGGATTACAGGCATGTACTACCACACCCAGTGCCTACAGGCTCCCTTTTAAACTTTGCATTACTTCTGGGTTTCTAAAAGATCCGAAAATGAAATAAAAGCTGGGGCAAAGCACACAACTCCTATAACAATAATAATTCTTCCAAATTCAAATTAGGATAGTGTTTTTAAATGTATAGACATCCTCTGTGCAGCTTTGGAATAATTGACTGAAGTACTTGAAATTTTATTAAAAAGTTAGGTGAATGTAAAAAATGTCATAATCAAATCCTTGACAGCCTGGTGGATGAAAAGCAGATGGGTTTACCTGTATGGGCAGCATGTTTTAGGAACTACAACATCAGAAAGGAATACAGTTACTTAGGTGAACAAGGTGAATGAAACCTTGGAATTAGAAAGTCCCTTTATCAGAACAATGACTGAAATTCTGCCACTAGGTGGCGGTGTACTACAACTTTACAACTTGAGGTACACCACATTATAGAAGATTTATCCATTTTGTATCCCACCAACTCCCTCCCCTTCATTTTTCATGATGACAACACCTTAGAGGTTTATGGCCACCAGGAGAATTTACTACTAAGCTATATACTGATGTAATGAAATCTAATATATGCTGTGCAATGAATTATGAGATGTTATTTAGTTTCAGGATTTTACTACTTAAATCAGTTATGACCATATTTTCTTTTATATGATTGCTCACTCTTTAAAAATACCATATGACCGTATAAGGAACACCTAATAAAGTCTGTATATGTTAAAATATAAATTTTTTAATTATTTGCTGTAATTTGTTTAAATTCTGGTTATATGGGTGTTCATATTAAAAACTATAACTTGTTAGACTCTAAGATCTCAGATTGGATGGTGGCTCTAAGTTATATTTTCTTAAGAAATTTTATTGTGTGTACTAGCAATTGAACAAGAAGAAGAACTGAATCATTATGAAATAATTAATTTTTAGCCTAAATGTCTGAAAGCCTGTTGATATTCATGTGGTTTAGGACAAACTATTTAAGTAGTCATTCTTAATTCTGACTAAACCTCCTACAGTACATAGAATATATTATTTGTTTAACTTTGTATTTTAATACATTTGCCTATTTTTGCATAAATGCCATAAATGTGATTTAAAAATAAACCCCTGTGTAACTTCTGGTAACTATTCAATTGAATCATTGTTCTTTTAGTATTCTAACTATTTTAAAGAAAGTTTTATATATATCTATGAAAACTAAATTTACAAGCCAAACCCAAAATGATAATTACTTGTTTTAGAAGAGTCAGCTTACACTTTCTTTCTTATGTATGCATGTAAATTGTGGTTTCCCACTAAACTGGAAACTCAGATCTGAGGCCAGCAATTTGACAAGGTCGTTAGCCTTTATAGATGGGATTCTTTAGCTATGAAATGGGGAGTTTGACTGCAAAGTCTTTAAGACTCATTTCAGCACCAAACCATTCTGGGATTTAATTCTGTACTTCATCATTAGGATTAACTAATATTGATTAAGTACCAGCTTTGTACCAGGCACTTGTTCCTACATTGTTCCTTTTCATCTTTCCCTGCAACCTTCTGGCATAATTGTTGTTAAACAGTTAAACATATTGTGAGGAAGAAGAACTTTTCCTCACAATATGTTTAAAGAACTTTAAAAGTTCATTTCTCTCCATTTCAGTATATAATTTTATGGGGTTTTTGGGAAGAGGATATGTGTTTTTATGTTCCAAGCTAGTCAGAAGCTAGGTATAAAACAGGGCTTCTCAAACTCAGCACTACTGACATTTGGAGCTGGATAACTCTGTCATGGAGAACTGTCCCGTACATTGTAGAATATTTAGCAACATCTTTGGCTTCTACACACCAGGTAATGGTACCACCTCCTCCCTTCTCCTAGTTGTAAAAACAAAAATGTTTCTGAATATTGCCAAATGTCCACTGGAGGAACAGAATTGCCCTCAATTGAAAACTATCAGTGTAGGGAATATAAAGAGAACGATGTTGGAGAACGATATGTAATTAAATACATAATTTATATATAATAAATATTTACTGGGTGTTCTAAAAACATGGAGAAAGAAACTAATTCAACATAGAGGAAGATCAGGGAAGATCCTCTCACAACTGATTCCAGAAGAGTGACAAAGTTATCCAACAAGGTGGCAAAGGACTTTCCTAAAAGAGAAAGATGAACAAAAAATGCTTTGAGGCACATTAAGTATAAGTTTTGCATTGATGGAGTGACAAATGTCTGCTGAAGATATGTGGGAGATGAAACTTGAAAGATAAATGCCACATTGAGCTGCTTAGACTTCGATCTTTGAGCAGCAAAGTGAATAGATTCAAGGAAGTGAAGATGTTGGGTCTCAGGAGATGAAAGAAATTTTCTCAATGCTTAACTGTCAATTTCTCTTTTTTTAAGTTTATAATAATTTAGGCTTCTGAAAGCAATTCATGAGAGTGGTTTTCATTGCATCTCTGTCTAAATTGAGTAATGAATTACAGTAGATGGGATAGAGAGAGAAGAAGGGAGGGGAGGGGAGGGGGGATAGTAGGGGATAGGAAAGGTAGCAGAATACAACAATTACTAATTGGGCATTATGTAAAATTGTGGATGTATAACCAATCTGCATTTGGGGTAAAATTGGGAGTTCATAACCCACTTCAATCTAATGTATGAAATATGATATGTCAAGAGCTTTGTAATGTTGTGAACAACCAATAAAAAAAAAGAAAATATAAAAAATAAATAAATAAATAAATAAATTGAGTGCTCTCATTAGAAATCTTTGTGAATTTGGTGGAGAAAATTTCTTGTTCATAGTTGCATTTCTTGGATCGAGCAAACATTTTTTTGGTATGCTATTATCAAATTAATTTTCCTCTTTCATCAATCTTGTTCATGCCCTTTGCCTATATGTCTACTTTTATTTTCACAAGTTTTTCCTTATTTGTTTGGTTTTCCTCTTAGCCCCACATTTCCCTCAAGTTTGAGTCAGTTCTTATCTATTTGTGTGAAGCCTTTATATATTTAGACAGTACTCCTTTCATTGAAATTTGCTGAAATGATAATATTTCGTTATTTGAACTTTGATTATTTTTTGATGTCTTTTCAACTTTTTTCATGGTGGTTTTTGTCAAATGGAAGTTTCCCATTTTTATGTGGTACAAACTATCAATCTTCTCCTCTGTGGTTTTTCCTTAAAGGTCTTGCTTTGTGGAGGCCTTCCTTTACTCTGGGGTTATATAAATATCCAGTGAGATTCATTCAATCCTTTTAGATATAAGAAGTAAAGCCATAAATCTTAATTCTCTGTGGAATTTAAGAATATCGTATGTGTAAAATATATTTTCTCAATAGATAACAGGAGGTCCAAGGCTAGATGATCAATTAGTCATTCAGGAGAATGGGGTTTCCAAAGGGAGGTATGAAAAGAATCTATTAAGGGGTATTAATAATATTAATATTATTATATATAATTAATATATACTAATTAAGGGGGCTACAGGTTGGTAATCAGTACCTTCTGTGAGTTTGTCATCCTGTAAGATTTTTTTACTGTACTGGATATTTCAGACCCTGTCCTTCTCCATCCTGCTCCACATCCCAGGAGGCTGCCCCATATTTACTATGTCAATAGACATCCTTTTCCTCTGGCTTTGGCTTGAACTTGGCCATCAGTAGAGTCACCTGCAGGAAAGGGCAGATGAGAGAGGATGGGGTATTTCTTCGCCAGCCTACTCCCTGCTTGGCCATGAGCTGGCACTGGTCACCCTCCTCTGCAGAAAGTGACAGCTTCTGTCAGACAGCTCTTGGGATCCTACAGTTTGCTTCCTCTTATGCTCCACCCTCCCTTTGCTATTCCTAGCAAAGTTGGCTCTCCTGGACCTTGCTTGTCCTTTGCTAGTAAGTCCCTTGATGTTCCTTAGTTGCCTGACTGGGTGTGCTGTCTTTTCCTGCCAAGAACCTGGCTCCTGCAGTTAGACCTGTGTCTCCCTAAGAGTAGTTGCTTTGTCCCATGGATGCACCAAATTCTGCCACTTGGAACAAATGTGGGATCTGTCCCTGGGAAAACTTCTACACTTGTTTCTCTAAGCTTGGCTAACTTGGGCCCTAGAGTCAGTCTCCAGGAGACCACACAAGTTCCTACTGGAAGGAGTGGACTTCCAAAACCTGTTTCCTACCACCCCCACCTCTGCCTCTGCCCATGACAGATCTGCTTCCAATCAGAGACTTATTCTCCTACATAATTTAATGCAGGTAAATGGCAGTGCTAAAAAGATGCCATATGATAGAAAACAGAAGTTTCTCCCATCCTGACATATCACTGTGCTCTCTTTCAAAACTGGTTCCTCCTGTTTAACTCCCTCATCCCCGAACACACTGACAAATTCTGCCTCTAACCTTTGTTCGTCCTGTTCTGATCCCCTGAGACACTGCTGAATGGGTGACACTCATAACCTTCACCGTTCTCTCAGCTTTACTTTAAGGAAAACACTAACTTTTACCTGCTCAGAGAAGCTCTCTCTGATCCCCAAATACCTGATATTTCTATTTTCTTTGACTTTCTGAAGTATGTATTACTTCATACAATCATATTACTCAATAATAATGAATCCTGTTTACCTACTTGTTATGATTTGATTCTGGAATGTCCTCCAAAGGTTCATGTGTTGAGGACTTTGTCCCCAATGCAACAATGTTCAGAGGTGGGCTTTGGGGAAGTAATTGGATCATGAGGGCCCTGACCTCACCAGTAGATTGATAATTGGATGACATTAATGGGAGGTGGTGGAACCTGTAAGTGGTAAGGCCTAGTCAAGGAAATAGGTCACTTGGAGCAGGCCCTGGAAGACTTTTTCTTGTCCCCATCCCCTCCCTGCCTCTGCTTTCTGGTAGTGATGAGCTGAGAAGCTCTGTTCCACCGTGGCTTCTTCCCTGTCACGTTCTGCCTCACCACAGGACCACAGCCATGGAGCCAGCTGAACTTGGACTGAAACCTCTGAAACTGTGAGCCAAAATAAGTCTTTCCTCTTTTAAGTTGTTTTCCTCAGGTATTGTTGCAGCAATGGAAAGCTAACATATTAGGATTCAGTATGTACCATTCATGGTCTCATGTGTTCCTTCTTTAGATGAGTACCAATATCTTCTTTTTATAGAGGCTCAGAGATGTGAAGTAACTGGTATAAGATCACAGTTAGCAAGCGAGCAAAGCCAATTCTGAATTGTCTGCCTTGCTATTGCTATGCTGTCCTCTATTTAAGATGTACAACATGATGTTTTGATATACATATAATCTTGAAATTGTACCACAGTTAAGGAAAGTAAAATATCCATCACTACACATAGTTAATTTTTGTACATGTGGTAAGAGCTCCTAAAATCCCTCTTAGCAAATCTTCAGTTTACATGCAGTGTTATTAACCATAGTCCTAATTATATACATCAGATCTCTAGACTGATGCATCCTACCTAACTGCAAGTTTATACCCTTTGACATACTTCTCCTGATTTCCTTCCCTCCACACCTCTGGTAACTACCTTTCAACTCTTCATTCCTTTGTATTTTTAATTTTTTTACATTCCTCATATAAGTGAGATTATGCAGTATTTTTATTTCTGTATCATCTGGTTTATTTCACTCAGCGTAATTTTCTCCAGGTTCATTCTTATTGTTGCAAATGACAGTTATCTTGTTCTACTTAAAGACTGAATAATATTTTGTTGTATTTCTCCATTCACCTGTCACCAGACACTTTAGTTGTTTCTATAACTAGGCTATGTGAATGAAGTTACAATGAGCATGGAGGTGTAGATATCTTCATGAGGTAATGATTCCATTTCCTTTGGGTGTATACCTGGCAACAGAACTGCTAGGTCATATGGGAGTTCTACTTTTAATTTATTGAGGACCCTCCGTAGCATTGTCCATAATGGCTGCACCACTAACAGTGTACAGGGTTCCTTTTCCTCTGCACTTTCACCAACATTTTTTATCTCTTATCTTTTTTCATGATAGCCATTCTCACATATATGAGATGCTATCTCATTGTAGTTTTGAGTTGTGCTTTCCTGATAATTAGGAATGTTGAACATCTTTTCATACACTGTTGGCCATTGTATGTCTTCTTTGGCAAGATGTCCATTCAGGTTCTTTTCT